GCTGCTCCGCCGCCGCCCCGCGCGGCAGCCGCTCCGCCAGGAGGCCGCGGCCCCGCCCCCGGCCGCCTGCGGGTGCGGCCGCAGCAGGTGAGCGGCGCCCGCTGATTGGCCGCCGCGGGGCGCAAAGGTAAATGTATGCAAATGAGGGGTGTGACGTCAGCGCTATCACCCGCTATCCGGTGGCTCGCGCTGTGCGGGCGGCGCTCGTTCCGCTGTCCCGGTTCCCGTGACGACACGAGGCCCTGTCCCCGTTGTTGTGACGACACGAGGCCCGGTCCCCGTTGTTGTGACGATACGAGGCCCTGTCCCCGTTGTTGTGACGACACGAGGCCCGGTGCCCGCTGCTGTGACGACACGAGCCCGGGCCTCGCCCCCGCCCGCCGCCGCGCCGTTTGCTCCCCTCAGGAGCGGCGGCGCTCGCCGGTGACGGCGCACCCCGGTAGTCCATGGCCTGTGTAATGCCAAGGAAAACGTGCAGGGATTTACTTGTACGGACGTGGAAGTGCTCGGAGTGCTGGCAGTTCCACCAGCGCTTCATGGAACCGTCAGGGCTGGAAAGGACCATCGAGTCCAACCGTACACCCAGCCCTGCTGCTGTCATTTCTATTTTTAACATATTTTATTTATCTATTTATTTATTTTTACTAAGCCATCTTTCTACTGTGCCTCCTTACATATTTGTATATTTGCTTAGTTTGAGGGTTAAATATTTTCAGTTACAATTATTCTGCTTTACAAGCCCTTCCACCTGCACCGATAATTTCCTGCTATTCAGTAGCCAGTTTTTATTAAATGTTCGTACTTGGCTTGAGTGGTGTCCTGGTTCACTCCAACCATCCAAAACGCTGTCTTCACAGTCCCCGTGGGCTGCAGCCTGCTGAGTGATGCTTTATAATAAATACAACAGGTCTAATATCTGCCAGCTATTCCAGCGTGGACATATGTTGCAGGCTTAGTGTCCAAGATAGTTTCTTGTCTTTTTTATGGGTTTCACAAAGAGACAAGGACATGCTTGTTCCTCCCTTGGGATGTCTGTAAGGATACATGGCACAGTAGTTTTACTTTATCAGGTTTTGGTGCCACAGAACTTGTGATGGTCAGTTCCCAGTAAGAAAAGGAAGCTGCATCTACTTTCTGATGAATTCATGACAATTCTTGGTAGGAACTTGTTATCAAAACAGTTCAGGGAGGAAATTCCAAAAGTGGGGTTTTTTTTCTGTAACTTGGCTGGCCTTCATCTGCTAAGGAAGCCCCAGCAGGCAAATAATCCTTGCCAGCAGTGAAACGTTGAACAGCAGCACACTTTGTCTTTCCTAGTCTGTCCCTCAGATCTTTTCTTTTTAGTTTTAAATGTCTTTTTAATGTGCTCTTTGGTATTTTGCTAGACTTCTGCAATTAAATACAATGCACTTTTTTTTTTCTCCTCATGCAGTAACAAAGAATTGTTGCTTTTCTATTCATGTATATGTACCTTTCAGCTGCTGGACGGACATCGAATTCAAATTCTGCAATATTTGTGACCACAAATTAAATCTGAATGCTCAACAGCTGCTGAAGCTTTATGTTTCTTTGGTTCTAAACTTGACATCCCTGCTGCTGAAGCTTTGTGAAGTGACAGGAAGCATTAAAAATCTGTGGAGATTTTTTTCTCTGATAATTAAACTGACTTAATGTTGTGGCTAATTTGGCCTATTGGGAATGCAGATTTACTGACTGGAGCTACTGCATTACTGGGCTGTGCTTCTGATCCTTTGGGCCCAACTCTGGCAGAGCATAAACCCAGTATAAAAGTCACTTGTTTCAGTGCAATTTTACTATCAGCTTTACTAACCAGTAAAGACTGGTTTCAGAAATTGTCCCCTTGATAGAAAAGTGGATTTTGGATGTCTGCCCTTTCCTGAACACAAGGAGCCATCAGCATATCAAATGTTTTTGTTGGATTTTGTTGCAAATGCCAACATCTAAAGTTACTGTGCCATTGTTGCTTTGGTTATAGTGCTGAATTATTCAATAAGATCATCCACTGCCCTTCATTTTAGAAGATCTCTTTCACTATTAATTATTAAAAGCTGTACCTTCACTTTCTTAATTAATGCTGGTGTTTCTTATTAAAGGACCCAGCTCCTACATCCTGTTGTGGGTGGGAAGTACCTTTTACATGTTCACTGCTTCATGTTCAGGTAGGCATCTAACCATGTGTGAGGCAACGTGGCTCATACCCACCTCTGCCCATAAACTCTGGGGCATAGTTCAGCTGATGTAAGCACTCAGAGGCTCCAATTAAGTAAATAGATCTATTACAAATGTAACAGGGGTCCTTCTTCCATCCCCCTTCCAATTTTGTTCACAAGCTATAGTACAAACTTGGATAATATGGTTTGGATTTAAAATAACACTTCGGTGATACAGCAGTGGGCTGTAATTTCTGATGGTCAGCAGTGTGTCTGTGCTCCCATTTCACATCAGGCTTCAGCACTCAGATTGTATTCTGCTAGAACTAAATTGGCTCAGTTCTTTTAAATGGCTAATTATGATTGCTAGTTGTGAAAAGACTCTCCTGCAGTTGGATGGAAATCTGTCATTCTTTGTAGGGAAAATATAGATAGCGATACTTTGATATTTTTAAAGACTGTTTAAGTACCTGGTCTAAGTGAGGATCCTAAGTATTTGTCTTCTCAGCCCTTGTCTTTACAGGGGATAAATTTTGCACTCCCATCTCTTACACAAATCTTGAGCTGCCTGACATAACCAAGAGCAGAATACGCATTTTCCTTTTCTTTCCTCACTTTTTTGTCTTTCTGGTGCTTATCCTCCGCTTCCTTGCACAGTCTTTGTTCTCCTGCCCTTCTATGGTGTGCTTCAATGGCAGTGCTGGCAGCAGGAGGAGCTACAAACAGTGTGGATTAGTTTTTCTTTCATGGGAAACTGCAGTGGGGGGAGAGTACACTGGGCACTTGTAATGCTGCTGACGTGCACTTACAAGACAGTACAAAAAGTAAATGCTTCTGCAAAGGGAGAGGGGAGTGGAAACACAGAGTTACAGGGGCTCAGTGCTGGTACACTTCTTACCAGTCCAAAAAGCTTCAAATGAAGCTTTTTGAGTGGTTTACTCTTAATTTCCCAGTAAACTCCCATCAACTGGATCTTGGAGGATTGCTGCATGAAGCCTTTTACTGTACCACACTAAATGAAAACCCAGCTTATAGCCAAATCAATTCTGTTTCTGTAGACTGTGGCCTCACGTGGGTACTGCTGGTTTCTGTTACCTATTATGTGCCTGAAATCTGAAGGCCTGTATCACTTCTGAGGCACAAATTTGAAAAGTAAAAGCTCAAGTATGTACAAAGTTCTTCTAAAGTGTATACTATTGTCTTAAAATTAAGACAGGGTGACCTTTTTTGTTACTCTCTACTATTATGGAGTGTCTAAAATGTTGTGAGTGAAGCATTGTTTGCAGAAATTGATTTTTATCGCTTTATTTTTCCCAGGTTTACAATAAGTCGTTGACAGCACTTTAGGTATTTCATTTCACTCTTTGTCTTGTAAAGTCATTTTTCTTCTCCTCATTTGTATAAAGTCTCTCATGCACATCAAAATCAGGGAGGGGGAAAATAGGGTTTCAGAAAGCCAGGTTTCCAGTAGTATATTTATTGTGTACAGTTGACATATTTAGATGTTAGTCTTGAGGTGAATAGTGTATACGTACAACAAGACAGGGTTTCAGCTGGCTTTACTTGGAATAAATAATGTGCTTATCTTTCCTTGGCAGTTGACCATTAAAACATGTTCCCATGCCAGTTAAATATGCTTGAAGTTTGGTGATGACCGTAGAATCTGTCAGCAAAGGCTGTGAAGTAAAATGCTGCTTATCATCAGTTGTTTTTCTCCATGGAGAAAATGGTTAGCGTTTCCAATGTCCAGTCATTTTTTGTGTCACTGGACAGGAAAATCTGAGTCATCTCAGTCACCTGAACTGCCTCAGTTATTGAGTCATGTTAGTCACCTTAGCTGCCAGTAACCTATGACTGAATATATGGAATCAATTAAACATACACTTAAAATGTTATCTGCTGTAACAATCAAGATTTTTTTTTTTCTCAAATTCAGCACAAATGCCCTGTGGACATACCCCAGTTATTTCCTGAGGTGTTAGTAATGAACTGGCTGTTCTGTGGTGTTTGCTCACAGTCATGAAATTCTCCCTGCTTCCTGGAACAAAACCAGTTCCCAGCAGTGCTACTGCACTTGTGCCATTCCATCACCAACTATAAAGAAGCCCTTTCTGGCACTAGGCAGTGAGGAATAGCATGAGTAGGCATAGCTGTTGCATGGATCTTTGCTGTCTTACAGGTTGACACACAAGGTGTTGTAGTGCTGGTTTCTTCTCCATGATCATTACGAGCTAGACACGGTGGAGAGGCGAGCCTGGTACACAGAACAAATTGTCTTCTTTGGAATCTTCTCTGTGGAGAAAAAAAAATTTACAAAACTGTTTGGCATTTTTATTTTTTTCTTTAGTGAAGTGGAGCACTGTAGATTTAGAAAGAGAAATTAGGGCAGGAAAATAGGCCATTTAAGTAGTGTGGTTAGAGAAACCCACAACTAGGTCAGAAATTAGCTCCGCCAAAAGCACAAAGACATATCTCCTGTTCAATTTAATAAATCTAACAAGTGGTTACAAAGGAAGTAATGGTTTGTTCATCTTTGCTCTTTGAGAGACAGATAATGAGTGTATTCTTTGACAAACTTTCTGACCAAAATCCAAATGGCACACAGCTCTTGGATCGAGCCCGGGAAGTTAAATTGCTATTAGGAAACTACCTAGAAGGGAGACTTTTTCAAGCAGAAGCAGCTACAGGCAAGTGCAAAACTCTTGTCCTAGATGGAGTGGCTGTATGCCCAGCTTTGCTTTTTGAGCCATTCTTTATGATTCCCACCAGATATACCATCCAGTGGTGGAAAATAACAGTGGAATGTAACAATAGCATGTCTCCTTGTTAACTCAGTTGTTGCCCATGTCTTCTGAATTGTCTCATGAATAGTGCTTGCCAGAGAAAATAGGCTTGGTAAAGATTGTCCCTCAAAAGTTTGTGGACAGGTGAGGGGAAAAAAAAAGCAAAACTACAAAATGAAGAATTAAAATAGCCCCAGGAGACACACTTTAAAGGGAAAGTGTATTTCAGAGGCCAGCCTGCTAAAAATAGTAAAAGAGGTAACTA